CAACTCTTCTACATCATACATACTATAGTAGTTGATAAATTAATAAATAAATGAGTTTTAATGAGGTTTCTATATAAAACAAAGATGCGGAAACAATATGGCAAGGACCAAAACTACATCTACATCCGTGTCAGTGTGATCACTGTGTGTTGGTAACTTGATTTTCCAAAATAATTATTCTTGTAACCCAAACTGTACAAACGAATACAAGATCATGAACAAATAGGTCTATTATTCCCAACGGACCCAAATTCCCATGCATAGATGATAATCCAATAAATTCAATTTGAAACAGACCCAAATGTTAGACCTTTAACACATAATACATGATCTTTGTTGGACATCGTTTGTCGAAGTAGAAGAATGAGAGTAACGTGAGAATATTATATGCTTTTTGAATTGAATTTCCAAATTACCTCAAAGAATGAACAGAAATGGTTAGATTTTGGTCCTATCTTCCAACATCCTGTTCTAAGATATTCTATAAATTTTGAGGGTTATCATTTTTATTCATGAGTGTGGATGCCTTACGATCTCCACGAGTTAGAGCAGAGGGTAGGTCAAAGTGTAGATTGGCGATATCCATGAGTGACAAAAATGATAGACCAAGAAAACCATAGGATATAATGTATAGGGACAGCATCTAGGGACAGCATCTTTTCAATTTAATCGAGGTTAGGCCATGCAGCCGAAGGTAAGTCATACAACCGAATGTAAGCCATACCTGGACAGCATATTTTCCATTCAATCGAGGTTGGGCCATGCAGCCGAAGGTAAGTCATACAACCCACAAAAAATCAATAACGGCAAAACCTAAAAAATGATCCGGGGTTTTTGAATTGCCGACTCGTAGAGTATTCATCAATTCATTTAAAAGCATGTCAAAGTCACCACCATCTCTACTATCTCATGAAGAGAACACACTTTAGATAAAGAGGTGCTCTGACAAATTAGAAAGTCTAAAACTTGAATGTAGAAAACGCCAATTTTATATTCTTTTGTGGCTTGATTTGTTACGCTCGAACATTTTTTGTTTCTCTTTTCTACTTGCATAACAATGATTTCCTATGTCCTTTTCTCAGTCAAACGCATATCCCCATAAATGTATGAGTAATCGGTTGCCAAGTTGACGTATTTCTCAGACCTATGCAGAATACTATAGCTATCACATCGAACTCGGTATGATATCGCGTAAAATCATTATTGCATCACCTTTCATAGTGATTGGTATAATTGAAAAAATGACATAAGATTTAGTTGTAAATAAGATCTAAAATACGGTTAATCGTGTTTGCTCTTACAAGATTACATGGAAAACTAATTAGTGTAATCCTTTTTGATTCTGTTTGCGTACACCCTGATGTTTAATGGTATTTGAGATTGCTTATATGTCTTATTGTCTGATTGTGATAACTTATTGACAGAGGCTTAATTCTCCCACTCTAACAGCTAATATGTCATTGCTACCTAGTTTTGTGCAAGATTAAACCTAATATTGTATCCATAGAGCGTCCATTTTGCAGGCTCGGTAATCACCGCGTTCCAGCCGAGTGAATTGATAAGTGGGAGACCCACCCGTAGCCAGCTTTTGTCAAGGGGGCTCACTTTTTTCAAAATTCCAGACTGAGAGGGTTTCATATTTGACCGTTTTGGCTTAAAATGACACGATATCTGCTCAAAATGGTAAAAACTAACTGTAAGTTTTGGTCAGGGGAACAGGATATTCAACTGAACTAAAACTTAAAATGGCGTTCATTAAAATGTGCGTGTGCACCTGAAACGTATTAAGTGTCCAGAAATTTATCTAATAAAATCTCTCGAATCTCCACATCAATAATAATTGGAATCGTTTAACGTTCCAAATAAATTCATCATTTTAAAACAATTGGAAAAAGATTTTAACGTATTTAAGAAGATATAAATGGCTTCGAAGGACCTGCATAATATATTCTTATTTCCTTTTATCATTTTACACATAAAAATCAACAGGCATTAAATTCTTATCATCTGGTAATATAAGCCACTGTGGCTACAAAAGTGTAATAGATGCTCAACATTGTCAACCGTCAACCGTTGAACGTCGGTCAAAAAACGTTGGCTACCTATAACAATTTTTAGCCACTTCTTGGTAGTGGTATAATAGTGGAAAGCTATACAGAAAATACGAAGTGATACACATGCAACTTAAATCATCTAAAAGTACAAATTTCTAGGTTTATGAATGACCCAATACAAGGTTATTGAGCTTCATTTACGATCTAACAGAATTTGCAATACAAATATAGTGATAAAATAATAATATCAGGAAATTAACAAGTGAGACAAGATTAGCTCACATGCAACTTGGAACTGATTTCATTGAGTAATCTGTGGGTGTATCAATGAATCGTCGTCGATTGATAGACACAGCTCTATAAGTTCATCCTCCTAAGAAGGTGTTCAGAATCCGTACCAAAAGAAAATATTCTTGGTTATGGCCTGATCGGGACAATTCCTCAGATAAATGCTCTAATGTAATCCAATGGGAAAATATTGAAATCTTTGCATTGATTATGAAAAAACGAGGATTTTCGGTACATAACCCCATATACCATGGGTTAGCTCCATATGTGCCCTTTCAAATCTAAAAAAAATTGCATAGATAACCCATTGAGAAAAAAAAGATATGGCCGCTTTTTCCGCCATCTATCCGAATTTTAAACAATTTTCAATAGATTTCAAACTCAAGACCACCGTCACAAAAAGTCAAATATTTGAAGTGAACCGAATCATTTCGTCATACTTTTTGTAAAATTATATACACACAAGATAAACAAAATAAAATATAAAATCTGTACATTTTCACTAGTGATTGCACTGATAAATCTTGATTTCAATCAACCATCATCCCGATTTTAAATTTAGATTTTTTGTCTACCTTTTCACTAGCGCCATCTGTGGAGTTATCCCATCTTAATTTGGACAGGTCATCAGAAATATGATTTTGATGAATTGTTAAAGTGGTAATGAAATGGCAAGATAAAACCACCAACCCCTGAAATGTTATTTATTTTGATATCCATGTAGGCGAACATTGGCGAATCAGGGATTTGAAGTATTTTAACTTATAGCTGCCTTATAGCTGCCTTACATGATATTAACGCCAATTTCCATAGTGTAGTTACAAGGAAAGAAGGAATACACATTGGTTTTATGGAATAAAGACCTCGATTTTATGATTTACGGCAAATATATGACCTCAAATTTAATTCTGGCTATTGCCAAAGACTTTCGGTCTTTTAACAATGAACAGAATAAATTTGTTCATATTTTCTACCATAAATCATAGAATCTCGATCTTTATTCCTTAAGTACATAGACACGCGGTGTTAACTTCGACCGTTAATTTGAATTTTTGGCCTACCGGATGTTTGAAAATCAAGGATTACGAGTCTCATACTGCACCGTTTTTCTTCAAACTTGTTCAAAAATCCCTCTCTGTTGGTACATTATTCTCCTAAACAGAGTCCCTACTTCCAGCGGCATTTTGGTCCCCAGGTGTAAGAAGGCCTTCTAAAAGCTGGGGACCAAACCCAATTGAAAAAAGCCTATGGAAAATCTTTCTCCAATTATCACCTAACTTACTATTGATAATTAGTTGAAAGTTAGGTGTAAAAATTCACATGCAAATTAGCTAATTATCAACTTAATTAACGCTTAATTTGCAACTTAATTAACGATTAACTACCATCAATATATGCAAATGAGCAATATATTCGTCGATTGTCACTGATTTACGTAAATTAGTTGAAAGTTATTTGATGTAAGTTAATCTCTAATTATCACCTAACTTACTATTGATAATTAGTTGAAAGTTAGGTTTAAGTCAGATTTGTGACTTCTCAAAAATGACTCGCTTCTTTTTTGCTTCCCTTCACCCTGAGATTTTTGCTTCATCTTGAACTATTTTGTGACGGAATATTCATCTTAATTAGGATCTTTCAGAACAGACAACATTGAACTTGAACTATTGAAATTTCACAGCAAGAGGAGGGAAAACCCCGTGATTCTATTGATGACATACGATTTCCTCCTTCGCACACCTCCTTTCGTCGATAACGTACCCTCCATCTTGGTTTTCAAATTGACCTAGTTTTAAACCAATCAACGATCGACTCGCTAAACCAATCAGCGACGATGTCATCTCAATACAGATTTACATTATAAGCGTATGTCATCTTCGAACCCTGGGGTTTCTCCCCCTCTTTTTTAAAGCTATTCTATTTTGCAAATTTTTAAGATTCGTGAAAAGCATGTGAAAACATCATTATTGCCATCAACAACTAAAATCAGAACACAAACATTAGACTACAATGTTACATAATAAGGACGTAACAGATATAATCAAAAATTTGTTTTCATGGTAGTATACGCACCATTCACGTTGTAATTCTCAATTTTATGAGAGAAATATCTCTCACATGTTTTCTTTTTCCACCATCTTGAAATTAAATTTAGGGGGTTTGTATTTCTAAATCATGGGCCTAATTTACGACTAATTATCATTATAATCATGCTATATGTTAACTATCAACCAATAGTCTACTTCAGAACAAAAACGTTTTAATTTACCACTTACTATCACCCTCAAACATTTCATATCTTAATTATCAACTAAAAATCATAAATCAGCATTATTGTAAGTTAATTTACGTTGAACTTGCTACTGATAATAAGCCATAATTATCATTGATTTAATTAACGCTTAACTTTAATTCCAATTGCCAGCAGAATTGTTGATAATTAGTTGTAAATTAGTTGGTAATAAGTTGGTAATTAGTTTTATTTTTCAATTGGGAAACGCTGCTAGAACGAGGGGCTCTTTACAATAAAGTAATGCACCTACAGAAAGGCAATTTTGTTTTGCTTTTAATGGTATAAGTTTGAAGAAAAACGGTGCAGTATGAAACTCGCAATCCTTGATTTTCGAGCATCTGGTAGGTCAAAAATTCAAATTAACGGTCGAAGTTAGGACCGCGTGATAAAACTACATCTTAATTCCCTCGTTACTAGGGCGTATGCACAATTTCATTGTCCAATACAAGTAAACAACCAATGCAGTGTTCTTGACCATTTAAGAATCCACGTGGTCTTGACGTCATAATTCTAAGTAGATCTCCCACAGGAGAAACTATTGTCGTTTCTTAACGTCCCTGATGACCTCATATATGGGTTTTGTACCATACAGGGTTCGATGTCTTCGGCTTTCTACAGACTTATTGAATTGCTCGTCCGTTCCATGGAACCAATCTAGAACGCCTATCGTGCCAAAATTCCAATTGAATCTGTAATTATTCAAAAATGAAAATGTCATTGGTGTTTATAATACACAAATCTCAGCAAAATAATAAATAATAAAATCTAATAAATAATGGTATAAAATGTCTAATTAACAAAATCTCAAAAATATTACTGCATCAGTTGTTCAATTGGGCGCGTTTGACTACATGTATTTGAGCGCTTAAGAGCAGAGACATACTAAAGTTAAATTTCTCATTTCCATTGAAAATCTATGAATCAGCCTTGATAATTTTGACAGTTAATTTTTCGAGAAAACTAAAAATAACATAAACAAACAAATTCTAGGCTCATGCGAAAACTTATTATGCCCCAGAATATGACCCCCCCCCCCATTGATTCATATATAGATAACGAATAAGACCACAAAGTTCATATCAACCACATGGACAATAAGGCCCAAATTAGAACTGGGCCTATAATCCTTGGAGGACTATAACTTCTTTAATACTGTTATTAACTCACTTGAGATGATGGTAGTCATGGAACTCGTTAGATGGCAGCAGTGGTAGATGGTACCCACTATGGTGGATAGATGTCACTACAGTCGCGATAACAAACCAAATCCACCAGACGACAATATGGGAACGCATCAACGCTGGCCCACCCATGATCGACCATCCGTTGCCAGTGAGGTATTCCAAGGGATGCGCATAGATGGCTACGATTCCGATAGGGGCAGTCCATTCGTGGTGTTTCTTGTGAATATGCTTGTAAAGGAACGGATGGTGCAACAGTCTATAAATAATGCAAATAATTATACTTTGATGTTTTTACACTAGGAGGTCGTGTTGGATGAAACCTAGGCCAGAGGGTGGGGGGAGACGAGGTAAATGTTTTGGGGGAGGGGGCTTCTCCTTCGGGAAATTATTACATGTACGTGATGTGGTGGGGCTACTTATTAAACTTTCGTGTCACATGACATCACCAAAACCATGGGCTTTCAACTAATTGAAAGCCCATGCCAAAACCAACCAAGAAGAATTCTTTCGATCATTTTTGCAATTTTTGTCGAATATTCCAGACCAAGTCAATGCCATATCATTAAATTCCCATTGAAAGAACACAGTTCCGCAGCGAAGATATTCATTGATTCATTTTTCTTTTCAAATGAAGGTACTTTAATCAAAAGAAATTCACAACCGAAATGTTAGTATTTTTGTTTTTCTCAAACGTCGAAAAAGATTTCTCAAACATCGAAAAAGATTTTCCTGTACACGTAATATTAACTAAAGGAATTAGAAGTGATAGAAAGCGCAGAATATTCCTAGCTTTTCTTTACAAAATCCATGTCAGTGTGTTAATTTCATTTTCTGAAGAAGACCTTACTATCTTATCGAGTATACAGTAGATCTAGTTGAAAATTGAAGATTCAGAAATGTTCAAATGCAATGAAACTGAAAAGAGAACGTCCTCTTTTTCAGTAATTTTAGTTTAGTATTGGACATTTTGAAAAGTACAAATACACGCCTAACCACCGACAACTTGAAGTGACAAAATAAACATGTGTACACTTTAAATGTACGTTGTCATTTCCGCCATTTTGAACTGCCATTTTTCGAATGATGAAGTGGGGTAAGAAATATCTTTGTTTTTATCATTATTGAGTCAGTTCACCACAAAGTATCTGTTGCATGCATTCCGTTATTAAGTTGCGAATATGCATATCCTCTTTAATTATCTTAAACAACTTCACTTGAGCGCCGGCACGTTCGAGCTAGGCGATTGGGCGCCGTAACCACGAGGTTGTGAGTTCGAGACGCGTGTGCTCCTTGTCTTTATTCATTCATCATCTCCGTATAGCTCCACCCAAACCGTCGGTGGTCTCCAGAGTTTGACTTATACCGCAAAAGCTTTTGTTTTCCTTTTCAAGTAATAGTCGAACTACGACTCACAGAGCTAAATATAAATTTACAAATATACCTGTAGTGATAATTCAAACCGCCTTTTATTTTGGATGGTACGACAAAAATAGTTTTCGTACGTTGTCAACTTGATTGTACGTTGGCACTGACATCTATAAAAATATTTGAAGATATAATAATATACTTATAATTTGTTTAGTATAATATTTCGTCTTTATCCAAAACATGATCCTGATATGATTATTTCAATTTTGCCAGTTATATCTGTGGTCCATAACCTGACATTTACTCTCTTTTTATTTTTTAAGATGATGGTCCGTAGAAAATTTAGAACTCAGTTTGAGCGAGTATCGTTTAGTTGGCCGTATTGAAAACATTTTTTATTGGAAAGGGTTTATGCTTTTATGCGAAATAAATTATGATAGTTCCACTCACTCGTAGGTTAGTTTCAATAGTCTAATCAACGTCATGTTACTTAAATTCAAAAAACCTAGGAGTCATCTTGCTCGTAACCTAATGAATTTTAGTTTCACTGATATACTTGAAGTAGCCTATAACTATTCAATTTAAAAACCTTGACACTTGTCTTAACGCCCTATGGTAACATTGAATTCTGAACTCATTTGGTACAAGGCAAACAATGCTGTGGAGCAATCTTTCCGGAGAATGTCACTCATAGAAAGAAACAAATTCAACTTACTGCAATGAACGATGTATGGCATGTACACTTTTTCTCGTATCCTAACTTAGATCTCTGCTACGACAGCTTCAAACTATGGGCAATAGGCATTGACGTCAAAGAATTTTTTGATTATTTTAGGCCTTTGGGATTTTATACCAATAACCTCGTTTCAGACCAGAGAGCCACGATTTCATCACATTGCCCGCTGAAATGAGGTTCTTATTGGTATTCTTTCCAACGGTAGAGTCAAGTTGACAACATACAGTCGAGTTGACAACGTACATTTCTGTTTTTTAAATTATAGCCAAAACGTAGATATTTATTAAATCTCAACCAACCTAAATTGTGTAGTTTAGAGTAGGCCTAATACATGTATATAAAAAGATCGACACTCTCAGACGGCAGGGGAAACATGATCAATGGAAATATGAATAGAACCAACATTTCCCAACCGGCAAATTATGTGGGTGGAAGTTACAATGAATTTACAATGAAAAACTCGACCACTGGTCAAGAATATGTTAACATAATTAGAAGGTTAAACGTCTTGCCAAGACCAAGCGCATGAAATTAAAAGAAATACTTAATGTATCCCTCGAATAATTAAAAAAAACATATCATAGTTTAAATCATTGAATTTGCTTCAATATTTGACAACGTACATCTAAAGTTTACACCCGTGTATTTTGTCACTGTACTTTGTCGATGGTTAGGCGTGAAATAGGCATGACGAAAACAGTATTTTGATCTTTGCTCTAATTCTAAACCTCCTCGTGGGACAAGCATTAATACGTTCATAGGTTATATTACATGGAATCATTAACTTGAAAATTTTAGACATTTGAATTCTAATTAAAAATTAATAATATTGCATTACACACTGCATTCAACAACTGCATCATATCAGTTTCGCCAATGTTTCAATCAAATTGAGAGATAGATATAAAACAGAACACTTGATGAATAAATCATTGATCGAGTGATGGAGCTCCTCAGTGCTAAAACTCAGCAACGTGAATAAATAATCTCTTTTTCTCGTCAAAGTTTACCTGTGCGTATAGTAGAACACCACCTCTTGAACCAGAACGAAAACTGTGAAATGAAACGCTATTCCGAAAACCCCGGGAATTTCCTCAACTTTAAAGCTGATGCCAAGTAACTGTTGTAGTCTGTAGAGGGGTATGGCCACTAGTAGGTTTACGAACAAATTGTTGAAGGCGGAATATACCACTGCATTTTTTAGCTTCTTAGGGTCAATCTTTAAAGGACCCTGAAAGTCACAGAATATATGGTAAGGTACGGCATCCATGTTTTTGCTTTGGACACGGGCATCTTTCCTTGCAAGACTGATTGAAAGCAGATCTACATAAAATAGATGGATCAATGGCAGGTCAACATGATCTAGCCTAAAGTTTTCACATAGATACATCATTTTAGACTTCCAACGCGGTTATAACATACGTTAAAGCAATTGAAATATCTTGAATCAAGATGTGATACATTGGTTATTCTAAATGCCGATGCTAAATTTTGAACCATGGGAGTGAGAAAGGGTTGAATCATTTCGTTCTTTTTTACATTCGTCAAGTTATTTTGCGGCATTTTCACATCCTGAACATCATTGTCATTTCTGTTGTCATCTTCAACAGCGTCATCCGGGCTATATGATCTGCATAATTGGTACTCGATACTACTTATTAAACGAACATTCACTCTTCATTAATTAACAATTACACCTGGTCCCCCTGTTTCGTATTTCTTGGTCCCTCCTACCGCCCCTAATTACCACTAATTACGTGTTCGTATTTGCGTCTTTTTCAAGATTTCTACTATTATGCATTATGCCAGAACACCTATCCTCGGCTTCTGTTTTAGTAGACCCATTCTTTAAAATAAAGTAAAGGGAGGTGCATAATAAATTAAAATAAATACTGGATGACCATGAGGTGGATATACCAGAATAGCTATCCGAGGAAAAATACTATCTATAGTATTATACAGGCCCGTAGCCAGGGGGGTTCGCAGGGTTCGGGCGAACCCCCCCCCCCCCTGGCCAAAAATTCTTTCAAAATCATGCAGTTTTTCACCATTTTGAGCACTTCTCTTGTGATTTTAGCCATATTTGGGCCAAAATTGTCAAATGTGAACCCCCCCCCCCTGGAAATTTTTGAAAACTGAACCCCCCCCTTGGCAAATCCTGGCTACGGGCCTGATTATATGTATCTGTAGTATTTTTTTCGAAGTATCCAGTATTTGTTTAATATTTCACTCTATTTTCGGTGGGTATCTGTCCATCTTTTAAAAGCCGTATTCCCCGAAGGGGCTATGGGCATACCGAACTCGTGAAAGATAGCTTCTTATTTCCCAGTCACATAGACCAATCAGAGAGTGAGAAATATGAGAGTGAATAAAAAACGTATATATGTGGGCCACATGGAGGGGTTGGGAATCATGGCTCTCCGTTTACCTGCTCGTCTCTCTGTGTTTTGTATTGCATAAGCCAGTCAGGCTTTCTGTTAAAGTCGCCATAAAGCAGTAGGGCATTTGTCAGCCAGAACGTAGCAACCATCAACAGATAGCTCCCTGGAATAATGAACCGAACTTGGTCAACAACTGATTTGAAAGGAAATGGCAGCCTGATTTTTCATAGTTTATTCTTTAGACCCATTTTACTTCTTATACCTGCAAGTGTTTTTTACAGTTTAATGGAAGGAGTGATACCTAAAATCATAACCCCACTATGAGTAATCATGGCCTCATTTTAGTTCCTCTCTAGAAAAGGTTAAAAACGGGAAAAGGCCTGTTTTTAGGATACTTCTACAGGCAATTGAGGCTCAAAGATCTATGAACATTGATGTATAGGTGAGAATTGAAGGGGATTAAATCATCTCCTTTGGGGGGTAATTGGGAAGGACACTGAAGTATATATAGTGCATAATATGTTGGTACTGTACGACATCCTCCGAACACAGGACTCTAGACATCATCCACTACGTTCCTTTCTTCCGAACGAAGTACATGTACGTCGTTCCGGAGGCCTGCGTTCTGAGGAAGTCATTTGAAACTAACACTGCATAACTTCATAAACTTAAAAAAAGACAATCGAAACAAGTGCACGTACATACCTATTACACTGATTTTCCATTCATCTCCCTCAAAGAAATCATACACTGCCCCATATATATCTTCAAGAGGACCCTGTCTCGTTACGTTTACTTCAGGCATCGTAATAAATCTTTCAAGTCTGGTTGATTCGGTGTACTTTGTATTGTTTATTTCCAGATTCGACTCAATTTTAACTTGTTTTATAATGTCTCATTTCTAAACGGATTCCCATTAGCTAAATAGCTAAACTTGTTTGACCACCATAGTTCTTTATTTTTCTTTATTTTAAATTGGTTCGAAAATCAAGTTCAATGGCATTGAATATTTGCTTACAATGAGTACTTTTTGAACTACGGACCAAGGACCCTAGCGTTTTAGATATATCTTTCAAACGTTAAATATTACATTAAGGATAAACATGAGTCCCGGGGATGAAAATCGTTACACTGCACTAACTGCTATTTCCATGATAATGAAGAAGTTATTCAGGTTTTGACATTCGCGTTAGTATTCCAATCTTCCAGAATGGCAACGGTCTCATCCATTCCATGCAGTACTAATATTTATTGCATTAAGTGATACATGTAAACATGTCCATTGATAAGACTAGTTAAATATTAATAGAAGTCTAAGATAAATAAACGTTATGTTCAGCATTTCTAAATTGTATTCATTTAACCTCTTAGATTCTAGAGTATTTTCAGTTTTGCCATTTTTACTAGCAATTAATATATACAATATGTGATGTTCAATTCGGTTTAAATACTTAAGGGGTTAATGAAAACAAAGAATGAAATTCAGCGCTAAGGGCTGGTGTGAAAAAGTCAGTCCATCCCAGTGGGGATCGGATCCCACGAGAGTAAAGAGAGTCTCATTACAAAACTTTTAAAACAGCTGATTTTGGTTATTTTTTGCTGAAGGGCTCCATAATATCCAACTATATAATAATAAAAATAAAGAACATCGGATACTTCATCTATTCAGAATTGTATACGTTTTTTATCTCATATTTTCAGTATATATGTATAAGAATTTTTTTTTACCTGATCTTCATATCATCACAAATATAAAAGCTAAGTATAATATTATTTTTTCTGGCCTTAAAATTGTCATTGCCAAGGTTTACCCTTATCAGCTATAAATAACTGAATATGTTAAAATAAATCATAGTCACGGTCACAATCTGAGTATAATCATATCATTTGGATGCAAGTAACGCTGTCGGCTGCTTTTCCATTCCATGTCTAAAAGGTGTAACAGTTCCGACTTTACGTCAAGAAATTGGTCATTCTTTCCATATTTGATCAGATATTAAGTTACTTTTCAGGTAATAATTTAGATTGTTGTTTTTTGAAAAAAAGGTTGTTTCCAATATTCTGAACTCTTCATTGTTTGCAACCACCATAGTACTTTAGTTGCCTTTACGAGCATGTATATACGAATGCTGCTAAGACCAACAAAGAGCAACAATCAAATTACAACAAGCCACAGAGTGAAAAGAATCGCACCCTTGAACAGAATACACTTTCGGGATGGAAAATTCAAAATGGCCACCTTAACATTTACCCAGACTGCCTAAAAACTAATCAGTTCTAAACTTTCCATAGAAACATCTCTAAAATTTTAGGATGAATCCATGAAACCTGTAAACAACCCTCAAGAGATACGTTTTAAGGTATTACTTCACAGTGAATCAGCTTTTTCTCTACAATTCAGATTTTCCTGAAAAAAATCCTGGTAAAAGATATACTGATGTATTACGAAATATGTGAAAATTGGAAAGATTGACCGTTTAGTTATTTCTAAAAAAATGTTTTAATTTAACATTGCTCTCAATGGGAAATTCTTTTTTATTTTTTAAAACAAGCCTTCACAGACACGATTTTAGGACGAAAAATCCAAAATGGCCGCCTTAACATTTACCAAGAATGCCGAAAACTAATCAGTTCTAAACTTTTATAGGTAGAAACATCCCTGAGAATTTCAAATGAATTCCTCAAACGGTTTTGCTGGAAACCTTTAGACAAACCTTGACAGACAAGATTTTAGGACGGAAAATCCAAAATGGCCGTCTTAACATTTATCCAGAATGTCGAAAAACTAATCAGTTCTAAACTTTCATAGGTAGAAACATCCCTGAGAATTTCAAATGAATCCCTCAAACGGTTTGGCTGGAAACCTGTAGACAAGCCTTGACAGACACGATTTTAGGACAGAAATCCAAAATGGCCGCCTTAACATTTACCCAGAATGCTGAAAAACTAATCAGTTCTAAACTTTCATAGGTGGAAACATCCCTGAGAATTTCAAATGAATCCTACAAACGGTTTGGCTGGAAACCTGTAGACAAGCCTTGACAGACAAGATTTTAGGACGGAAAATCCAAAATGGCCGCCTTAACATTTACTCAGAATGCCGAAAAACTAATCAGTTCTAAACTTTCATAGGTAGAAACATCCCTGAGAATTTCAAATGAATCCCTCGAACGGTTTGGCTGGAAACCTGTAGACAAGATTATTCGGGACGCCCGCCCACCCACCTGCCCACCCGCCCGGCAAACTGATTACAATATAGCACCTTAGGGTGCGATAAAAACTAAAACAAGCCACAGGGTAAACAGAATCGCTCCCTTGAACAGAATACACTTTTCAGGATGGAACATTCAAAATGGCCACCTTAACATTTACCCAGACTGCCTAAAAACTAATCAGTTCTAAACTTTCCATAGAAACATCTCTAAAATTTTAGGATGAATCCATGAAACCTGTAAACAACCCTCAAGAGACACGTTTTAAGGTATTATTTCACAGTGTATCAGCTTTTTTCTACAATACAGATTTTCTTGAAAAAAATCCTGGTAAAATATATACATACGAAATATGTGAAAATTGGAAAGATTGACCGTTTATTTATTTCTAAAAAAATGTTTTAATTTAACATTGCTCTCAATGGGAAATTCTTTTTTATTTTTTAAAACAAGCCTTCACAGACACGATTTTAGGACGAAAAGTCCAAAATGGCCGCCTTAACATTTACCAAGAATGCCGAAAACTAATCAGTTCTAAACTTTTATAGGTAGAAACATCCCTGAGAATTTCAAATGATCCCTCAAACGGTTTGGCTGGCAACCTGTAGACAAGCTTTGACAGACAAGATTTTAGGACGGAAAATCCAAAATGGCCGTCTTAACATTTATCAAGAATGTCGAAAAACTAATCAGTTCTAAACTTTCATAGGTAGAAACATCCCTGAGAATTTCAAATGAATCCCTCAAACGGTTTGGCTGGAAACCTGTAGACAAGCCTTGACAGACAAGATTTTAGGCTGGAAAATCCAAAATGGCCGCCCTTAACATTTACCCAGAATGCCGAAAAACTAATCAGTTCTAAACTTTCATAGGTAGAAACATCCCTGAGAATTTCAAATGAATCCCTCAAACGGTTTGACTGGAAACCTGTAGACAAGATTATTCGGGACGACCGCCCGCCCAACCGCACACCAGCCCAACCGCCCGGCAAACTGATTACAATATAGCACCTTAGGGTGCGATAACGAAGATATGAAATACAAGATGGTGAAAATCTGGAGCATGGAGTTGAAGAACAAGTCCACGTTGGAATTTCCAAAATTACTTTCACTAATGGGGATAAATGTCAAAATATCCATCTCTGTCTACAAAAGTAATTAATTAAGTTTTTGGTTGGGTGGATTTTGAAGGAAAGCTTTAATTTTGATAAAACAAATTAAAGTCCATTTATAATTTTTTAGGGGAAAGAGTGTGTCATTTTGGAATGTAATTAATTACTTTTTGAGACAATATTGAGATATTGACTTGGACATTAAATAAATCATCATGAACTTAATGTACATATGCTTGTAGAATTACAAGTAGTACTCTATGGCATTCTATGTTGCAGGTCCCATATAAAATGTAAGAAAGATGCTCGTATAAAAATGCAAATATATTTATAAATTCTATAGTAAAAACAACACTTATGTGGGCAAATCCATAAATTCTATTAAAATGTCTCTTAGATCTTTTTTCTCTTATTTTTACCTGGACTTATTGTACTGTTTCTAGGTTAAAAGATGATCACTATGATTTTAGTTGCATTACGGTTAGTAAGGTTACACAGACAATTGTTCTCCTGGGTAGCGCAAATATGTTGATAAAAGAGGTATGACATTTTTATTGAGACCTTGAACTATGTTTCTATGAAATATGAACACTTCAATGCAACACATTTAATGAATTCATTAAATGACATCATATCAACAATCTTGGAAAGTCCATGGAAGTTGACTCTTGGACAACCATATACATAATAGCTAAAGAACTGACCACCCTCGGATAAAATCATAAATATTCAGCGATCACCTGCTAGTCTAAACACCTAGCCGGTCCCAGAGGAGTTCAGATTTGACAGGTTTTATTGTAGTTTTATCTGCTCACAAGTTTCATCTAAGTCCAATTACAGTTGTATAACATGGGTCTATAACAACGATATACAGTGGAGAGTGGTATATCGTCATCGTATACAACTCCTCCGTATACACTCCAGCGTATACCACTGTAAAGTGCATTCTGGGAACTAATGAATAAAAAAATCATGAAAATTTTCATGATTTCCTAGAATCAAGTGACGTCATAGATGGTTCCGACATGATTTGCTAGAATCAAGCCACGTCATGAATGGTTCGACATTAGCATTATTGAGTTGGCTATGGGATATTTTTTTATTTGGCACTGAGAACAGGAAGGAATAAATCTAAGTTCAGCATTCAATGTTATGTTGATAATGCCTAGATCACATTTGCTCTGATTCATCGGCCAGCGCCCAGCCGATTGCAGTATTTTGTTTAACCCACTCACTACGGCCCCATGCTATTTCGTCAGCAATCTGACGATGGTGTTCTGGACCAGCGTCTAGAGGCATGTCAGGGTGACACCCATCATGAATTGTATAAAATTGAAGATTTATACTTACTTTGTTGATTATATGTACTTTTTTGATGTATAATAAGGTTTAACATGAAAAAAACATAAAGAAAATAAAAAAAATTGAAAACACGACTTTGTTGATTTTTCCCGTGATGCACTTGTCAAAATGGCGGAAAATTTAAAACACCCTGCTAGAGATGCAAAAACAAGAGCCTTACAGTTCTTTCAAGACGGGTTTTCACTTGATGGGGACTGTAGTGATGAAGATGGTTTACCAGAGCATGAGGAGAACCAATTAGATGAGGATTTTATGAGAGCTAGGTATGTAAAATGTAAGATGATTGTGTTGTTCGTCAGTTGTTGTCAGTTTCAAAAAATGAAAAAAAAACTTTTTGCAAGCAAAACACGAAAAAAAGTAATTATGCGAGGAAAAGACTGATTACCAACCTTTTCAAAATACAAAGTACCATAACATGGTATTTTACCATAGGAAATAGCGATGAAATGTCCATAAAATTGCTGAATAAGTTACTTCCGGTCCATCGCGAGTGGGCGATAATAGGGTACATTCAAGTTTACGCACTTTTCTATCTATC